GGGGGGTCCTGATTATAATTAAATCCAAAACCCTATTCTAAGTATTCCTATATGACGGTCATTCGTGAATTACGCCGCACCTTAAATTACATATTAGAGTCCAAGCGTTGACTTCAGCCGACAAGATTCACCGCTTGAGTCTCCGTTTGCGCAGAGTTTGGTGCAGGCGCTTGACTACATCTGCTCCCTGCTGTGGACATGAGACTCTTGTGCGAATTGGCTCGCATACCGAAGAACCTAGTACATCAGGTTTGGGGATTTGCGGAGGACTTGGGGTTTAGGTTCCGTCAGGGTTCCGAAAAGCATGCAGTCTAAAGTCGTTAGGTCGTCGATCCCTTGGCGAGGTCATTTCTGGCGTCAGTTTCGACCCGTACGGCCATTCACCACCAGTAGGATGGAAATCCTCGCACGTGCTTGGAGGTTCATGGGTAGTTATAAGTGGGGCTATAAGTAAGGTAACTATAGTTATAACCCATATTAGGGGACTTATAACCATACTCATAACTACCCATGAACCTCCAAGTAGTGCTGGTGGGGACTTGGACTTGCAAACTTTCGGGTAGCTTTCGGGTTCTGCAGGTGCGGGGGCCCACAAGGGTCATGGCGAATTCAGTGCCCAAAACAAAGTGCGGGCAGCTACGTGCACTGTGCAGATCCGACAATTCGGAGTCCTTTGTCCATGAGGTGCTGTAGGGTTCAATGCATATGCTTCGAAGCTGAATTGGAGTTTAGGGCTTCAGGTTTATAGGGTTACAGCTTCAGAGTTTGGTGCTAAGCCGACGAAACAGCATGGTTGGCAGGGCTCCCTTTCCCGTGCTAAACCGCCGTGCTCTTTGCAGAGCGTGCTCGAAAGTTGCAGGAGAGGATCAGATATTCGTGCCGAATTCAGCCCGGAACGCTGAACCCTAAGCCCTAAACTCTAAACCCCGAACCCTAAACCCTATAAACTCTAAGCCCTAAACGCCTAAACCCTAAACTCTAAACCCTGAACCCTAAACCCTATAAGCTCTAAGCCCTAACAAACCCCAGTCGGGTATCAGGTTAGGGATGGCGTTGGACCTGAGGAAGAAGCCGGTGGTTCTTATTCGGGTGCTTGATATGGCACCCAGCTACATGCTGCTTGTAGGACATTGTGACATTGTAGGATCTTGTAGATAGTTTGGTGGAGAAGCTGGGTTTCCTAATCTGTGTAGTCAGAATTTGTTCTCCGATATCTCAAGTCGAAAGTATTTGTTATATAGCAGACACCACACAGCAAACTCTGTCTATAAGTTGGCTCTCATGGCATTTCACCACTTCTAGGCTTGCTGGATTGCATAGTCATCATTTTACTGGGTTATCAAGCATGGCTGTGGCGACTATTGTATGACAGTACATCATCATCCTTGTCGTGTTCTACGCTAGCCATTCTGGGGCGAGAATGGCATGGCAGGCACGCCTTGCCCTGCGTTTCCTTGCCTTTGCCTTGACCCTTACCCTTAGCTTTCCCCTTACACTTACATACTTTTACCTTATGCATGCCTTTACCTACCTTGCCCTTCTCTCATCTGACCTGCCCCTTGCCCCACCTGACTTTCCGCGATAACATGCCTAACATATCTTGCGTTTGCCTCATTCCCTCATACAACCTCTTTATCGAGCACGTGGGTTTGGACTTGTGGTTGCTTGTGGACGACAGTCACGCAACGCACAGAAGCTTCACCACGGCCGCTAGCACTGGTAATTCACATTCGTGTTGTGTGGGTAGTTAGAAATTTTGCGGCTGCAGCTTGCCAGATGCTGTTTGTCGCCGAAATTTTGGAGCGCATTGGAAGGACATGCCTGAATCAGGCTGTCATCAGAAGTGAACTGGTGCTGAAGTTTGGCGGCAAGCTACCACAGCATATTTGGTGATCTCGATGTATCTGGCGTGACCATTCCTGCATGTGATGTGGCGATGTCCTTCCTGTCTTTGCGCAAAAGCCGATTGACGGCGTCTTAAAGTAGTTGCTTATCACTCGAAGCTTATGTGCAGTGCTCACTGTGAGCAGTGACACCTGGCTTTCCCGAAAACGCTTCACTGAAAAAGGAGGAGGCTCTAGAGGGAAGGCTTTAGGAGGTAGGATTTTAGGATGAAGTATAAGAGAGTGTGAACTTTGAGATTGTAAGGCTAAAGGGTTTTAAGTTTAGCCTTCAGGGTGTGGCGGCTTGTTCAAGTCTACAGTCAGGCTTTAGTTTTCTTGTCCAGGCCCGGTACCCGAGCACGGACACGCTCGAACCTGCCACCGTATGCTCTCGAGATGCGATAGGTCCTTTTGAATTGAAGGTTAGATTGCTAGACTCATCCTTTGTAAACTCCCTTTAAGATCCAGACTGTAGACTTTTGCAAAACCCTACCCTACACCAATTCGTGACTTAGTTCCTTCGGTAAAGCACCCCTTCCTGCAGACTAACGGCAGCGCAAACTCTGTCGCAATGTAGTCCCATGGCAAGCCACATGCTGTCCAGGAGAACGTAGCCCTCTCCTCAGTAAGCAATGCGCAATCCCCATCTCGCACACCGAAAAGTTCAGACGGCTGGGAAAGCCAGCAGCAGATGTGCTCTGGCTTTCTTTCAGCTCCATACTAAAGCGGCCGAAATAATGAGCAGTAGCATTGCCTTATTTTCCCTTGATGTCACCTTCCTATAATAAATCCCAAAACCTCTTTAACAATCATTGTTACCTTGCTATAATAAATCCCGAGACCTCTTTAAAATTCATGAAGGCCCCCATATGCCTCGTATGATGCATGCTGCAGTTTCCTCATTTGGCGCCTCCCACCTCGCAGCCTTCCTGAAAACCTAGGGTTTAGGCTGGTTTTGGGTTTAGGGTTTAGGGTTTAGGACCTAGGGTTTAGGGTTTGGGGTTCAGGGTTTGCAGGAAAACCCTGCGGTAATTATGAAGGTTTCTCAGCTATTAATTATTTCAAAGCTCCAAAGAAGTAGCCGAAAAGCTCACACCCCCTTTGAAGCCCCTCGGTCTCATCTCACTGCTATCATGAAGACATATTATGCAATTCCGTTAACGAATCCTATCCTGTCCTAGGCAACCTCCCTCAGGACTCAGTGGGTTGAGGGGTTTAAGGTTTCGGGATCCCGAAGCGCTAAACCCTATAACCTTTGATTAGCTATAAACCCTCAAAATTCGAAAACCTAAACTTAAAAATAGTTATAACCTTTGATAAGCTATAAACCCTCAAAGTTCGAAAACCTAAACTTAAAAATCGTAAGACGCCTCGGCCACCAGCCAGGCAGAACTTCCTTTGGCACCGGCACCCGGAGATGCTCCGGAGCAACGGCCAAGAGGTTGGGATTTCCAATGGGAGTTCAGGCACTTTCAGGGTTTAGGGTTTAGTGCTTAGGGTTTAGGGTTTAGGGGCTATCTCGTCTGGGGGTGACTTATGTGGCGGCCTTTATGGAGAAACTTTGAGGAATGATGTTGGTGTTTAGTCTTGTCTATGTTCATCAACGGGCCTGCTAAGCTTGTCAGCATATTGGCCCAAAGCTGGACCGAACCCGAACATAAGGGGCCTGAATAATTACCAATAGTATTGCTTATGTCCGTTAAGATATGCATCCATGCATGCATGCAGGCAGGCAGGCATGAATGAATGAATGTATGCCTCACGAGGTACGTGCATACATGCATGCATGCATGCATGTCTGTATGTTTGCTTGTATGTGTGTATGTATATGCGTGTGTACATCATAGTACCCCAAGGCCTTATTCTAACCTCCACACCATTAACGCCACTATCTTACACAGCCTGCCAAGACCACCGAGGCTCCGACGTTGCGGACGATATCGGTACTTTGCAGTGCATATTGGGGCCTGCACCGCGACTTCTTGCCTAAACCCCAAATCCCGGAAGCCCCAGGAAATGCGCCCAAATGCCTCCAGCAACACCCTTAAGCCTCAAGGCCAGCTAAAGCCAAACTTCCGAAGGGTGGCCAACCTCAACTAGCAAGCTGTTGCAAGTAAGATCAGTGCTCGGACGCCAGAACGGTAGCGCATCTTCATCACAAAAAACGTCGCCAGCCATCGTCTGCATCATCATGATCATCAATAGGGTCGTGATTGTGTTAGCACTTGTACCCATCCCTAACTCGAGATCGTTGATGTTGTTATCATGGGCCTATGGCTTTGAGACTGCCTTGGCGGCCTCAGGGAGGGCTGCGAAACATAGAATAGGAGCACAAGCTCCACACCCTAGACCTCAAGAAGCGGGAGACGTGTGGAGCCAGCCCTCCCAATCGGACTTAAATGTACCGGTTGCTCCTGGTATCTAAGCTCGCCGAATCGTGCAATTGGTAGATACTTCGGAGCCATCTTCGTTTGGTAAAGAACCCTGGAACGAGGTCCTTATTTTGCATCTGGTATGCTCGTCAAAGTTCATGCTCTAAGTTGCTGGTGATTCTCTCGCCGGACCGACCAGAATGATTACACGACAACTATGCAGATCCAGACACCACCATCGCAGTCATCATCATGTTCTTGACCATGACCATCATCATAATGATGGTCTTCATCATCGTCATCGGGATCTTCATGATCATGATCACAATTAGTCATATCGTCATCGCCATCATCATCATCATCATCATCATCATGAGCACCACCGTAATCACCGGCACCGCCTTCATCACGCAGAATGTTCCACAGCTTTTGC